ATGAATCAACACTGACCGGAGGTAATATCCCTCACGAAGGGTTTCGTAGGGGTGAAATCACGCAACCCAGAGGCTGCTAGACTAGCAGAAAATCGCGCAAGCGGTGTTCTGTTTAGACCCAAGGAATCACCGGTTATTCGAAGTTCAGATGTCCCTATCGTTTCATGTCAGGCACACATATACTTCGTTTGGAACACGTGACGCAAGTGTGTGCTCAATTCTATAAGAAAGACGCTATGGTACTTCAGGATACCAAGAGGCTAAGTACACAAATGACGTGAGAGAATGATTGGACCGCCTTAGAAACCCCAATCTCCATCACATCAAAAGAAACCAATGTTCTCCGCTGTTGTCACTGAGTGGTGATGCTAAATACACTTGAAGTGCGACGCTTTGTACGCAGGTTTTTGACTCTCTTTGGGCGTTTAACATACTCTGTCTATTCTTGTTTGTCCAGACTCAGAACTGAGCCCATGTGTGCACTGAGGTGATTTGAGTAAGCCTGAGGTGACTGTTTATTTTTAGGAGCATAGATTGCCAGGAAGGTTTCCACGGCTGATGGAAGGTCTCACCTGTTAGTGATTGATCTGTTGGCTTATTCATCGAGCGTCACAGTTAACTTGCTTGGCGAATAGATCAACGGCCACGGGATCAACTACCGGTAAACGCACCTGAGCTGCCAATATTTCGACACACTAGTTTCAGTCCCATAACTATTTTCCCAAATCCACTTCCATCGAATTAGGTATTTATTATTCGAAATTTAACTTAAAGGGCAGTGGGAGAATAAAGATATCCTGGGAATAATTATCTTTCTGAACAGCCTCTGTTCTCTGAGATTAGGCCTGCCGAGCGTTTCCTACTGTAGCACCAAAATAATGGCTCTAAAGAACAAAGTCCGATGCTTCACCAACTATCCGCCTTAACGAGTTCGTTGGTGTTGGCCCATTCAAACTATGGTCCTGAGAAGTCGGCAGTAATGGATGTAAAGACACAACAACACACTTATTACTTTATTCAGATTCGGATAGCTCGGTGGTTGGAGCATGAACCCACCAGCAGGTACACAGTTCGAATCCAACCCCGGCATCTCAACTGCCTCTGGTCTAGGCGTGGGCAACCTGGCAGTACCTCAGCCCTCGTACTTCCTTTGAGGAGGCATGGTAGCTAGGCACCGAAAGGGTGTTACAGATGAATGACCCTCCATCAAGTATCAAATGTGTGTTGTATTGATGTAACAAGTGGTGTCAGTTGACAAACGCATTTATTACCTGAGACTCGTGTCTGTCAGCTGGCGGGGTGATTTAGGAGCTTAATGGGAATTATTCTATCACGTTTGATGGTTTAGTACTTGATTAGGAAAAACCTCAATTAAGATGACAAAAGACATCAGATAAAGATCGGCTATTTTGCAGGTGAATCAATGCAAGAAAGAGCTCTGCGGCTCATTTAGCTGCAACAGAGAGAAAATGAAATCTCAGTGAAATATTACAAAAGGTAGAATTATTCGTTAAGACCTGACCTTCCTAACACATCCCTTTTCAAAATGCGTGTAGGTTCTCAGGTGCGGAATTGCCTGCATTGGTGTAAATAGTTTTGGGTTATGACTGGACCACCGTCTTGGTCTGCATATGGATTCGACCGGGGGATTGTCTTTTTGCACAGGAGGGACATGTCTAGATGGTTACTCAAAGGTATTTGAGAATATGTCCAGTGGAATTGAGTTATCCGATGCACTGTGTGCAGGGCGAAGTTGATTCGCGTGATGGATCCATGTGTCACAGTACGTCAACTTCGTATGTGACGTTACCCACGCTGCACCTGATGGAACACTGACTCCATTTTATCTGCCGCTGTGATAGTCCTTAACCAAGACCGAATCACCGGGCTTAGGTGGTGTGAACGGCATCATGATGGCGGTTGAACTGCCGCTTCATTTTGTGTTTCTTTTTTGTAGGTGCGGGGCGATGGGCGTTTTGTTTTGAAGACAGGTTTGCTATTTGGCATCAAATGAAGCGTGGCTTGGGCTTTGAAACGGTCCGAGACCATCTTGAAACACTTTAGAATATTTCGATTGGATTGTGCGTGTGATTTTTCGTGGAATGCTTGCATGCGTGAGATGCACGCTGTCACATACAGACTGCAGACGGACACAAAAAAGATTCAACTGATCTATCCAGTCAAGACCAAGCAAATTCAGATCTGGACAATTTGTGAGGTAGCAAAGGCCTTTATTGAAAGACACATCACGAGTGAGTTCACCAGTGAGCGGTATGTTGTTGCCGGAAGCAGATTGTGCACAATGACTGGTAGCAGACAATAATGGCTTCCCGATTCCATTCCAAGTGGAACGTGAAATCAGTATGATGTCTGAGGCTGTATTGAGCTGAAGACGGATAGGATGGTTATTCACTTAAAGTGTGATAAATTTCCTGCTGGATGCGGAGTGCACTGTGAATGATACGAAGACAGGGTTTGATCGATATCGCTTGCGTTGTGATGGGGCCGTTTTAGGTGCGCTATTTCGGTGATCAATCGGTTTCGCTCTCTTTGGGGAGCCAAATCCTTTCCTATGATCAATACGACGACACATCTAATATTTGTATGGGCATCTCCTGTACGGGCAAAAGAGAACGCAACGACAGTCACCACAATACCAACATAGTGTAGAAGCCTTATTGTGTTGGACATTGGAGCTGCGCTGAGTGTCTTTTTTTGATGTCCGGAAACATGACGCACTATGTCGTATGAGCCAGCTGATGCTTGACCAATCATTCATCATCATCATCATCATCATCATCATCGTCATCAAAGACAGCAACATCAGTGTTGACACTGATGATACACATCCAAGCACTCAATCAAACAAGCTGGATGGAAACTGACACCACGAACGCCACTGACATCGATTAGCCGCGATTTCTTGCAACATCTTCAGTCTAGCACAATTGAGATCACGGGGACCCCAGCCTAGAAGCCGTACAACACCAACAACACCAAAAATCCTCGTGATCTCTCTCACGCCCTTCTGAAAAGTCATGCATTGTCCACTTCGCGGTTGACGTCATTCTGAAGGATGCTTGAGAATGACACTCGTCTCGGCAGACGGTGTTTCGGCAAGCGTGGCACGTGACCGAGCTATCGTAGTCGATGTTGCTGGATGCTTTCCCCGATTGCATTACCTGCCGCACAATCAAATATCTGTTTTCTAACCACCCCGTTGCTAACACGCTGACGCCATCATCAACCAGCCACGCTTCTGAGGCGTTGGTAGTCAAAAACCTGAAGACGCCTCACATCATCTGTCAACAGAGGCCACGTCTCTCACTCATACAACAACACAGCCCTTACTGTAGCTTGGTAGCCTGGTACATGGACTCTTAAGATCAAGTGATATGCCTTTTTGACGCCACAAGTGACGCAAGTTGGCAAACGTGATTCGAGCCTTTTAAGATTGCTGCACTGACTTCATCGGGCACATTTCCGTCAAAGCAGATACAACTACCGAGGTATGTAAACTTTTCCACTGAGCTCCTGTAGGGTTATCTTTGGGTTTTCATCAAGCTGGTACAACAATCTTGTCCGGATATTTGCATGACGAGAGGACTGGATGTCAAATATAAAAATAAGGCATTTGAGCTGATTTTCGTCCATATTGCTGAGCTTGAAATGCTCGCATTCTCGATTGACAAGTATCCTAAAACCGACAAATCATCATCCTTCATGAGCTATTTAAAGCATTGGTATCGGTTGTTGAATAAGGACATGTTGTCGCCAAAGATTTTCTTAAAGGTTTGGATAGTGCTGTCGAAGCTGAGATCACTGGGCTGTTTTGGGAAGCATGTAATTCACGGCATGTAATCACGGTTATGTTCACCTGTGCCAAGTTTCCTTCTATGGGTCATCTTGCTTGGCAAAATCAATTTTGAATAGGTCTTGGTATCTTTTGAACCAAGAGTCGAAAGTTCGATAGCATCGGCGTCGAAAATAAATTCGGCGATAGGATTAGAAATAGAATCTGCAGATGAAAGTGATGGTTGACATATGCTGCTTTCTGGAGCCTGACTACTTAGATTTTCTGTCAGAGCTTCTATCAGTTTTAGCTGTGTATGGTAAAATTGCTTTTGTTGGAGTTGCGCGTGTTCAAGCTGCTTTTGCTGGTGTTCCAAGATTACCTGAAGCTGATCAGATAAAATTGACATCGTGGGAGACTCGTCGCCAGTGTTGTGTCTTTGAGCTAGCTGGGTGATTCAGGAGCTTAATGGAAATTACCCTTTCACGTTTGATCGTATAGTACTTGAGTAGGAAAAACCTCAAGGCAGATGACAAAAGCCACCAGATAAATATCGGCTATATTGCAGATGAACCAATGGAAGAAAGATCTCTGCGGTTGATTTGGCCACAACAGAGAGAAAATGAAATCTCAGTGTGTGAGCGTTAGGACCTGACCGTCTTAAGAATTACCAATAGCACCAATGTGTTTTACGAGGTGCGTGAGCGCTCCACAACTTTCAGTGTCCCTTGAATTGCGATAGTCAAGTTCACAGGCCTTATCCCCTTCAGGTCTGGCTTTCTAAGATGATATGCGCTTCTCTTACTCTGTTGTTGCTGGTGACGGTGTCGTCTGTGCACTCCAAACAGCAGAGATTCTCAGCTACAGGGGTGTGTACCCCTGAGTTTCAGACATCCTTTAGTTACAAAATAGACCGCAATCGGAGGAATTGGTCATCCATGGGCAGCGTCATATGCAGAAGTGATCCTCATTTACTGTCACTGGTCAGAACTCTGTGAATACATTATCCAGTTCCATATGTGATCCAAGGACTTCTTTCAGGAATATTCATCGCTTCCTATTCGTTTGATCTTTCGTTTGTAAACTTTAGCTGTACGCTCAGGGTGAATAAAAACCAGTCTGTGGTCGCACACTTGTCGGATGCTTTCTGTTTCAGCCTATTATAGAATTTCACTGATTTCGGCCCATCTTTCACTCTGTCGTTATCATGTCCGGCACAGGTGATCGTATCAATATCTTCCCATCGAGAATGTTGGTGCTTCTACGTTTTTTTACCACCGCATCTAATCTAGGGCATTGGCAGCAATGAAATCTCGACTAAATGGAGCACAAAAGGGACATCGTTTGTTGAAGAAAAAATCAGACGCGCTGACGCTTCGTTTTCGCACAATCCTGAAGAAAATCATAGAAGTTTGTCTTTTTGTTTGCAAACAACCGCGACTAATTCGTTTCAGGCGAAGCAAATGATGGGTGACGTGATGAAAGAAGCGATATTTTCCCTTGCTAGCGTGAAGTTTACAACTGCTGCAAACATAAACAATCTGGTACTCCAAAATGTCACGCGAGCTCAACGGAAAGTAAAAATTGGAAAGGACAATGTGGCAGGTGGGTGTCCAACCTATTTGTTAATTCAATATTTCATAGGGGTTCAGCTACCCGTTTTCAAGACTCACTGTGAAGGCTCCGATGGTAAGTCATTGATACGTAGGTATTTTGTTTTACTTTCTGATCTGCATGATGAGTATTTTGAGTCATTGTTTGACAAACTCTTGTTCTTATTCCAGGGTTTAAGTATTTCGCTGTCCTGGGATTACAAATGTTCTCAAAACCTACTACCAGGATTTAGACCTGTGTTTCGGCGATTTTGACTTACTTATAGGCTTATGAGTGGTTGAGCTTCTGGGGATCCAAGGTCATATAAGCACCTTTTGAGCCTTCTGGTATATGCTGAGGTTCTCTGCATTGGCCCCTCCCCGAGTGAACAGTGCCTAGAGAAAATGGAATATCTTTCCTTACATTGGAAGATTTGATTATCTGCAGGAAAACTAGTTAGGCGCACAAGTTGCGACAAGGATGCTTCAGACCGTAGCATTTCTGAAGGGTGATCACATTGTTTACGGATCACAGTATAGATTGTGTGACGCTTTTTTTAGGCTGCAGAAGAGATTGAGTTTCAAGATGATCCCACCCTTGTACTTGTTCCCCACGCTGGTTTTGATAGCATGCTTTTTGTGTGCTTATCACCCCTCACTCAAATTCCAATGTAGCCAGAACCGTACTCTCCTTTTTGGGGAAAAATTTCAAGGCTGATTATTTTGTGGGGCATTTAGTTCAAATGACGAGTGTGAACATTTTTCATATTTCGATTACTCCTCGTAATAGGCTGACTAGATTAGGTTTGATGTCGTGCTAACCACCTAGCTGTAACCAGTTACACCACCCTTAATTCCACTCGTTTTACCCCACACTCGACCGTGTGTGTGTGTGTGTGTGTGCCATAACGCTTTGATTGGTCGTTCATTTTGTCAAAAACCTATGTCATACTCCTTTGTGATATTTACGGCCATATAATCTCGCAGCCATTTGCTTAGTGCTTGGATAAGTTAACCTACCGACATACTGCTTGGACAGAGGGAATCACCACTACGTCGCCCTCGAGCTATGACTGTGAGGAGGTATCAAGCTCTGGAGATTCGAAGATTTGTTCCATCTAAGCTGGTACCCGCTGTTGGTGAGGGGTTGTTCTACAGAATTATCTAAGGTTGATGTAGGTGCCATAAGTATTCTCACACTATTTGGCTTAATGTGTTCCCCATCAACGGTGACCGCAAGTCGCTAGGCAATTACAATTCCATTTGTTTATATTTCTGCACACGGTCGTTTGTGTCTCGATAAACTTGGTCACGTGATCCTGCGAAAGTCCACTTTCCGTTTAGCTTACGAACTGACCGGACTCTCGGGTGGGGGACAACAAATTGATCGTCTCAAAAAAAACTATGCGAAAGCTGTGGAACTGCTGGTCGAGCTAGCCTCACTTCAGACCTCTTTCATTACTTTGGACGAGGTAATCAAAGCAACTAACCGTCGTGTGAATGCCATAGAGCACGGTAAGTTTCAGCCTTCCACTTCAAATATCCACCTTGTTCTTGTTGCTGACACCCTTAAGTGATCAGAATTCGTGGATGGATCCGTTGATTATGTCCTCTCAGGGTGCTAGATATTGGAACTGTTTGTCTCTCAAGATCAATTTACACTAAAGCCATTTCTGACGCGTCCAAACATCAATTTTATTGCTTCTCGATGTTGGGTTCAGTTGCCTCAAATCTGGCAGCTCCTCATATACGCGCCGGCCCTATTATCGGACTCGCTACGTGGATTTGTACGAATCTTTCTCTTGGACTTCAATGAGTGAGGGGATCTGCTGGCCATTCAAGTAGTTTGATTAATAGATATATTCAGCAAACCCAGTGTGCGTGATAGAGTACCTTCACAAAAGCGGTCGACGATAAATGCATAAAAATCAGAACACATGAAGAAGTAATATCGAAGAGTTTTCAGCGACCTTATGAGTAGTGTGCTACGTCTATACAATGTATCGTGATATCTCGAATATCGTACCAGCTGAAACATGAGGCAACATGGTGCAGCATCTTCAGTTGCTTAAGAACATGATAAATAAGGGATTCAGATGGGTTCCAGGTGAGTCTCCCATCAAAACCAATTTGATATGCAAATCAGTGCATTTGTCGAAGTCTGTCTAATTTGGGCTCAAGTAGAACATAAAGTTGACGGAGACTCGGGGACTGAACCCGCCTGATGAGCCCTATGAAGGGCAAAACCGGTCGTGGGCTGTCGAATAGTCTTCAGAAACCATGTGAGTACTGTGTTTCGTCTCTAAGAAGTAAGGAAGTTGAAAAAAATCGCCTGAAATTGGGTCATGAGAGTCCGGGATTAGTGGCTACCCAGTTCCCGAATTGTCTTCAATGCTTGGCTCTATACCCCACGCTCTACCACTTTTCGTTAATCGAAACTGTATAGGCCGGAAACAATGCACTTATGGTACACCGTTTATAACTGCAAACTGATTTGAAATGAAGGATTAGTCAGGTAACGGGCCCAAAACTGAGTAGCTGGATTACTGCACAGAAAAGTGCGGGTAATGTTTGAAGGCAGCAAGACTTTGCCCATGAGTGAACAGGTCGGGACACGTAATGGAGTCTACGGACAGAAGAGAACGCATCTACAAGATTACACGTAAATGCAGAAAACGAGAAACAAGATCTGTCCATGAACTAATTATCATCACTCGTCCAATGTGAATAAATTCCTTAAGTAAGCCGGAAAGTATGACGAGTGGTACAAAGTTAGAAGGGACACAAACCAGAGTATGAAATTGTGGTACATGTTAAACTGGTACAATTTCCTGATAGGAGGATAGAGTTTCTTCTGTATGACGCTACTCATGAGGTTGGTGGAAACTTTTAACGACCGCCTAGTCCCAGAACTTCCACCAATTTCGCTTCGTAGTTGAGCACTAGATTGAACGAATGTGTAGACACAGAATCGGTTGCAAATAAAGCTAGTATTAGCGGGAGATTTGAGTGCACCTTAGCCGGATCTTTTGTTCCTATTAACCTTCAACTGAATGTGCGACACAAATGAGCGACATTCAGGATGTTGAACTACCTTCCTAGGTACGGCGTTTTTTATAAATTTAATGAAAACTCTCGGACGATAGTGAGCATGTGAGTGACGAGTATGTGACTAAGGTGAACCGCACTCCTGATTAGTTGATGTATCAGGTCACGGATACCTATGACCCTGTTAAGGGAATCTTCATCAAGGAGACGATCAGTGACTCTGGACCCAAAAGTAAGAGCGAACTTATCCTTTGATTCACCCAGCATAAAGCTTGAGGTTAGTGTTTAAATTAGTCAACAAAACTATACGAAAGTCTGATCAGATGACTTTTAGTCTTTTGGGCGAACAGATCAACCGTCATCTGACCAATCACCAGGAAACACCGGTACTACCAATATACGGAGGTCAGATAAGAGTCTAAGTTTAGGGGAGGTGATCAGGGATTCAATATCATCACTAGACCACCTAGATGGAACTTGAATAGATGGTCCGATTGGAGAAAAGGAAACACACTTCTGCCGGTGTGTCATTCCTCAGCATATGCTCGAGTCGGAATGGGGAGTAGCTACCAAACAGGTCTCACGATTGATGTTAAACTACGATTGCTGAACTACTACCGCACAATTGTTGTCTCAACCAATGAAAAATCCCGCCGATACCCCTAAGTTTACCAGTTTGCCAGTTTACCATTCAATGTGTATCCATCCGGTTTTGTTTTTCAGGTTGTAGGCAAGCTAACACAGTGCACGGCATTTGTGTGGGTCCCAGGTATCTGGCGTGTAGCAGATGTTCACTTCCAATACCTTCCTAGACTGTCCATAGACTGTTCATAGGTTTTCTAATCAATCTCTGGGGATGGAACATCGTACGAGACTTGTTTGAACCTGTCACGGGAATCGGGTAAGTTCAGAGTGGTTGAACGGACGGTTAAACAGATGATAGAGTCTACAGGCCTCTCGTAATGTCATATCAAGGGACCCTGTTTCAAGAACAATTCGAAGCTCGTTCCTTGTGCGATGAAGAGAGATTTGTTTCAGTTAGGTTGAACTATCTTGTTTGTTTGTGAACGTGATACTTCCTGACTTACGGTACCTCACGCACAATTATCGATTTATCATTTAATACACAAGACCTGGGGGCGACGTAGGATCCGTAGGAGCCCATGGTCGAGGTTCAGTACATGCAATCCTTGGTCGGGCGCAAGGCATTCAGCATGCCCACCCCTCTCCCGACCAAGCGTTCGCCAGCGGGTAGAATCTCGTCTAACTCTCACATTATCACACACGGCTGAAGACTACAAGTGCAATGTACACCGTCTGTTTCTGGTTTGAAATCAATGTTTCACGTTCTTCCTTAGGCAAATAACTGTTGTTCTTTGAAATCAATGTTTCACGTTCTTCCTTAGGCAAATAACTCAGCCCGGTTAAAGCGCCGGAAACCCACTTTCTCCCTTTAATTTCGAGGAGGTCAGTCATTGACAAGTCTTCCTCAGGGGAAACGTGAGTAGTAGACCGCTTGGGATATCAGAGCAGACCAGTATTCCAGCACTCACACCCGACCATAATGAGGTTTTCTAGGCGTATCATATTACCATTATACCCAGTACCCAGAGCACATAGCGCCTTCCTCTAAAGTACTGAACTATTGGGGCCCTAGCAGCAACACTTCGTGTAATTTTATGGAAGAAAAATATCTTATCAGTGTGAGACTCTGTCTCATAGGATGAAAATTGGAACAGTGGCTGAACAAAATATTTTCGATAAATGGATTATTGATGCCAGTGGTCACATGCACCAAAACACAGTACAACCTGCAATGTTGTACACTGCGATACTTGGAATTCACTGGAGACATGTGTGTCTCAGAATCAGGCAACTGATGATGATGATGGAATATATACCACACTATAATGTTCTGTGATTCAGCCATGTGCTAGGAACCCCGAGTTGTCGTACACTCAGAACCGCGCTGTTTTCTGTGCAAAATTTAGGGGAAAGCAAAGCTAGATGTACAGCAAAAGGGAACAAAAGGGTTTGAGAGAGGTCTGGGTGCTCTCAGTGCTTTTTTGTGCTAGTCTGCGGACGGATTAGGCTCTTGTGAGAGGTCTGGGTGCTCTCAGTGCTTTTTTTGTGCTAGTCTGCGGACGGCCTTTGGCCGATGTCAGTGACAGTGGTGCCGAGTGAATGTTTTGGCAGACTTTTCACATGATTGTACAAGAGTTATGACTATGATACCTAAGGAAATTGCCATTGTTCTGAGGAGTCAAGTTGGGAAGTGGACAAAGAAAATAAGTTTTGAAGAAATTCCATGAATTGCGATTAGTTTCTGTCACGAGCTCTGTTAGCCAATTGTGTTGTGCTGCATCGTCATTTTAACCTCTTCATCACCATTTCTGATTTAGTGGTCATACCGCGAATTTCTCGAACTTTGAGCTACATCACTCAGGAACTGGATGAACGCGAACGAGAGGAGTTCTTCAGGTGAGCTGCTCGTCACATCCTTTGAATTCAAACCTAGGTCTTGTGGCTACTTTTTGCTCGATTCAAGCTACTTGTGAGTAGCCAGGTGATTATAGCTCATTTTTCGAAATCCTCATTTCGGTTGCTTTGACCCGTTTCGCTCACGCTGATTTCTGCTGTAGGGCTTTCTCAAGCCTTTGGTTTCGATGTGTAGTGAGGATCACCGCAGACTAACTGTGCGCGTTTGTGTGCACACGTGTGTCCTCTGGCATGCGTCCTCCGTCCCTTCCACAATTCTCTGCAGGGGAAATCAAACTCACCTTACCAAGGCCAAAGCGTGAAGAACTGACAGTCGCAGCAAAGTCAAGCCATCAATGGGACATTTCACGGATTTTTTCGGCATATTTCCGATAAACGAAGGACAGTTTTTACAACGTTGCTGCAGAAACAATCAGAAACAATGAAAACCAGGCGAAACATGGGCGTTCCCACACTCGTGTCAAAATCCCCTTCTTGGTTCTCCTGATATCCACAACTTTCCTCTTATCTCGCTTGAACATAAGCGGAATTCGCATACATTTTCAGGGGGCTGTGGTGGAATAAACCCAAAAAACTTCATCAAATCGAAGGGCGAACCATAGACAGTATTTTGGACATGGATTTAGCGGAATACAAGTAAAAATGGATGTCCACAAGAATCAGTGTCATTCGTATTGTGATGGCGTCTAAGTTTGGAAACGAAAAGTCGATTACCATTGGCGCTGGGCTGTAAGAAAAATGTGATTAGACGTATTGCACTACTCAAGGTTGCTGAAAATTCTTTGCCCTTCTTGGGGCCCATCAGGTAGGCGCAGTCACCGAGTTTCCGTCAACCTTATGTTCTACTTGGGACCGAATTGCATGTAGTGCATGTTGGGAGGTGTCATACATCTGGCCAGTTGCACCTTACTTCCTCAAGAGTATTTTCGGGTCCCAGAGGAGAGCTTCGTGTATCATGACAAAATTCGTCCATGAAAATGTATGGCCTGTGCCTTCTTCACTCTCATTAAGTCGGTATTTCGTTTACACTTCCAGAACATGCCTATCCGTCATGATTTATGGGTCTACATTCGTTTACACTTCCAGAACATGCCTATCCATCATGATTTGTGGGTGTGATTGCATGGAACTGACGCACAGTCTCATCACGGCTATAGCTGTACTGCCCGTGTCTCATCACCTGGCCTCGTGCAGATGAATCGGCTTATCGTGTGTAATCGATGCTGTCGCAAGAGATTGCTCCATCTTCAGTGTCATACGATTTTCAGCTGCAGCTGTGACAGCATCGGTATTTTTGGATACTTACTTCTGTCTTCTTTACACTACAGTGTGTACAACTGCTTGGCGTTCTTCCCCTTTTCTATGCCTTAACCCCTACGTACTTATAGGTCACCCGTAAGCTCTCCGTTTTATCGATGGGCATACTTCAACTGTCCTTCCCAGAAAAGACTGGGATCGAACAGAAATCGTTCGGTTTCAACACCCTTTTGGTACCCAGCTGCCATACCACGAGGGTTGGGATACTACCAGATTTTCCAAGCATAGACTATTGACTAGTCATGTTTTTGTCTACTTTCAAGGTGTATTTTCCACCTGATCACCGGTAGAACTCTCATTGTCTTCTGATTATCTTGGAAGCATGTTACCATAATAAGTCTTCGGCCCATGTCGTCAGCCAGATAAGCTGGAATCGCTTGTACATCAGTCCTTACTATGTCTCGATCTGGAGACGAAAGATTCTCAGCTGTTCAGATTTTGACAGTCTTCAGGTTAGTAGCACGCACTCCTGAAACTATGGCCAGTCATCGTTTTCATCATTGAAAGTAATATATTAGTACTGTGTACAGACTCCTAACCACAACCATGAAGAAGGTCCCAGCAAATAGCGGAAGAAAGATGGAGGGGATGGCACTTGCTGAGAGGACGTCTTATTTTCCTGGGGGAGAACAGTCAATAATCTTTGACATATTCGGACAGAATCATGTCGTAGTAAGCCGTCATTGGCGGGATTAACCTTGGCGAACCTCATCCAATATAGGTCCTGTGAAAAACACCAGCCGAACTTTAACTAGACAGTGTAGCTGGGAAATGACATCACGCTGGCCACACTCCGCCACCTGCAAGCAAGATCACATGGGCCCTAGTCAGGAAGACGCAAAGATGTCATAACAATCAGTTCGATGGTAACCTTTATTTTGTGCTTCCGTGTCACGGTCTGTTCCCTGCAAACCTTTTGCCAACAATTGCATAGAACGGAAAACAAGCTGTCTTGGGTAGTCGGTGATTGGTCATGCGTATATGGGCCTTAACCGCCTTACCGTGATAAGTTTAGTCTTTTCAAGAGCTCTTGTGACTCGGATTCAGTGCCAGGTGACAGCGCACCATATCGTTGCGTACTGGCTGCAACCAGCCAACTATTGCTAGGCCACGGAGAGACACCAGTGGCCAACTATTTGATAACACCCGAGGTCCTCGGATCGTAGGGACCATGTCTCATAACCATAGAGTGAGACCGCATATACAGTTGCCTTGTGTACTCAGCGAACTTCATTTCTGATGCCACAACTGACGCAAGTTAGCGAACCCCAACAGCATCTTGATTATTCTCACATTGACATCATCTACCACGGCGTATAAATTTACCTGGATATGTGTACTGATAATCAAATCCAAGTTCTCCATTCCGAGGTTCCAGAGAGACACGGGAGGATGGGGTTTTCTGGATTAAAACCTTCCACCCTGTAGATCTGAGACGCACGCCGAAACATATGAAGGAATCTTTCCACGCAATCGCATGCGAACACAACGGTATGATTCGATAACCAGCTCCCTCCAAGTAACTGTACTAACGGATCCTCAGGTCTGTGCCTTGTGAAGGTAACATCACTATCTCAAACGGTCCTGGAGTCATTGATTTGGCCCGGCACACCGATGAAGAAATTCTTGCGTGTAAAGTATAGGGCTGCTGGCTACATTTACAGTGAGGTTGAATTTGATCGCCCTGATCAGGATTCAATTTGTGCAAGATACGGTAACCTCTCCGTCCTGGTGTATTAACCCATGTGCGACTGCCAGTCGGTTCTTTCGTGTGTGCAAAAGTTTTTGAGTAGTGAAGAAGGGATATGGCCTCGGTTAGAAAACGACCAATCCGCAATTTTACTTACAATTTGTCTCTATGCCGTTCGTTTGTTTCCGGCATACCAACGCAGCGGAGATAATATACAGCAGTCGGGTTTTCGAACTTTCGACCGAACACTCCACATGCTATTGTTATTATCTTTCTTGGTGGCGTTTTCTCACTGGCGACCCTTGAAAGTCCCTATCACCCACTTCAACCTGGCCATCTGTATGTTGGTAGGTTCCGATGCAAGACAGATACCACTTACCAGGCTTTTTTCTGCCATCGTTGTCACGACCTGTTGCAATGGCAAATGATTCATGCTATGTAACAACCTCCGTCTAGCGTTTACCCTTTTTCCTCTTTCAGGTTGAAAAAGGTTCAAGAAAAGAAAAAGCGTAACACCGCTTTGAAAGAACAAGAGCTAAAGGCGAAAGGCTTCGTGTTGGCCGAGGCTGATCAAGCTCCAAACATCCTCACTGCCAATGCGGATGAAGATCAGATTTTGTTCTGAGACACATTCCCTTATCACTCAAATGCATAATACGGTTTTCTTCACATTATTACTAGCTGTTCTGCGATCAAGTGACATGATTTCACAGTGATCTTCGTTGCTTACTTTCAATACACATATGAACTCTTTTTGTGCGTTTTATTCTCATCCGTGACTGGGTAGTTTGAAAGCGGTGTACCATTTGTTTGAGTTGTTTGAATGCTTCACTCACTGAAAGGGGGTTCCATGCCGTGTATAGTAGTGCATGGTTTTTCTGGTTCATCGGCAATGCAGCGTCTAAAACACAACATTCCCGTTTTCACCGGAAAGCCGGGGATCGAAAGTGCTACTTGGGTACCCCGGTTAGCCACTTAGTTGTCCAAACATGTAGGATCTTCACAGAAGAAGCGAACGGGCCGCCGCCCTGGATCGGATTTGATGTTGTCTCATTAGAACACAACATGAGGAACTGATCGTAAGCTCTGAATAAGCGAGCACCGCTGGCCCGAATACATTCGACCTCGACCAAAGACCTCCCACGTGTTGTTCAATACGTTGTGGAGTTACAGTCAAAGCCGTATGCCCGGTTAGCCACTTAGTTGTCCAAACATGTAGGATCTTCACAGAAGAAGCGAACGGGCCGCCGCCCTGGATCGGATTTGATGTTGTCTCATTAGAACACAACATGAGGAACTGATCGTAAGCTCTGAATAAGCGAGCACCGCTGGCCCGAATACATTCGACCTCGACCAAAGACCTCCCACGTGTTGTTCAATACGTTGTGGAGTTACAGTCATTTGAAGCCGTATGCGTTCCGTGCTTCAAATGAACTAGTTACCATGATTATCGTCTGGGAACATGTACATAACTCGAATATCGACGTGTGCGTTCCAGCGTTCAGTCCTATGGAACTTCATATTCAATGGTAGTTACGGTGGATTATGCCTTAGGGACGAACATCGCCGTCTGCGGTCAATTTTAACGCAATGTTTTTTATCGAAGATCGGGCAAACAGGGTGTTACGGACGGAACATGCTCCTCGTAGGGTTGCGAAAAACCCTTCGACAGCCGAAGACCTGCTTTGCCCCTCTTGAAGTTATCGTAAACGAGGGATTTATCTGGATTCATTCGGGTCTGCCGTCGAAACCAAGTTAATGTGCAAATGAGTGTACTTCCCGAAAAGCCTCACTGGCTTTGGAATCAGCATTTGATTGATGCAGATGTGAATATGAATACCTATCCCGCAAAACCCCAAAATGCAACCAAAAAGTTGCCCAGTGGGTTTCAGGCGTGTCACTCTACCTGACTGGTGGGTCAATCGATCGTCATAACCAGGACCGATAGTGGGTCGTCGTTCGATGTGTCGGGCACACCAATCACATCGCTCAAGTGTGAACACGTTCGCCTGTTCGGATGCGAAAGTTCAGATGCGTCCAAAGTGCCAAAGTGGTGTAGTGGTTACACGCTCGCCCCGCATGTCAGAAGTCCGGGGTTCAAATCCCGGCTCGGCCACTGCTGATGAGCTCTAATAAGAACGAAACTCGAGTCCAGTGCCTCCCTTTGATGTGGACTCACCGGAATAATTACGCTAGAACACGAGGGTGACTACAGAGGAGAATGTCGGTAGCTCAGGTAGCGTAGATGATCGTTGGCTTGTTCGCTGAGCTGGGCAATTTGGTTGCAGACGTTTCATCACCAATCCATGTGACATCATCAGTGCGTAGTTGTGCGTAGCGGTGGGTTATTGGTTGTGCGTACAGACATCTTCAGCAACTTCAGTGGTCTAGAACTTCCAGCTTAGAGATAGTTCTATAGACTAGGTTTCAAAATACAACTTAAGCAAGAGTCAATTAATCGAGTTTTGAACATTTCTCAGCAGCTGTTCTTTTCAACCGACAGATTGCCCTCAAGTGATTGTCCCACCAAACAGGCTGTGCGAAAATTTCTAAGAAATGATTTTCTGAAAATCGATCTACTTGGTACAGACGCGTGAGTCGTGCAGCTGTGAATACATTGGACATCCCACCATATCGTGATTGATGAATCAGTCCCATGCATCACGAGTGTAGGGAATGTTCGCTCTAGGATGAATCCTAATTTCATTCATCAATAGTGTTTTGCAAGTTGCATGCTTTTTCAAGTTGCGCTTCTGGACAGAAACATTTTTATGAGTACGATTTCTATGATGGTATAGCATGTCAGCCTTCATTGACCCTATCGCTTCTTGCTGTGATCTGGGCTGGCTCCTGACCCTGTTGTTACGCGTGGGTTCGGAGAGGGTGTCGCGTTTATACCAAAGTCCTCTGTCAGCTGCCACGACAGCAAACAACTTAGTTTGCAGTCTAGCCATGCGGTATTGTTGTCGTCGCTCCCGAAGTGGATGAGAACAACAAAGTTGCTTGTACTCACATGCGGTATGACTTGAGTTTAAGTGTACTCAGTATGTCACCACAGCTACATGCCTGAGCTCATTTGATTGAAACGGAGACTGAACTTCATCGAGCAGTCCAATATCCAGTGTACAAAATGAATCATTTGAGCATCACTAAAGCATTGATGTATAGGACACGTGATTTCCGTGATCTTGAGGGGAGGCGCGGGTAAACTGACTGATGATGTAGTATCATTTGGCGTCTGTTGGCTCAGTGTCACGCCCAGACATCATGTCTTGAAAAAAATTAACTCCGGCTCACAGACATAGCTGTACAAGCATTTATTGAAGCTGATAAACCCTAGCTGAATATGTGGTCCACCCGGACAGGATTTTCGGTCGTTACAGTGTTGGTAAAGCCAGATGGCTATTTCACCACCAGAATCCCAGGCACAGAAACCAAATCTGCTCCGTTTTCGAAACGTGGATTTCTGTGACCAAGCGCCTGACATTAAAGAAACACGTATATCGGAACAGCTAAAATGGCATTATCATTTTAAGCAATGAACCGAAGGTAACAACCGCGATTCGGTATTTTGGTTCCAGACTGTGCAGGCGCCTATAAAAATTGTTTTTGGGCTAGTGCAGCTAGTTTGTACGGAACCACAGACCTATGTGTGAGACTGGACCTAATGTTCTTCAGTACGAAAGCTTAACCAAAGCCGGTGGCAACTGGTGCGTGTATTTTAAATGACCATAGGATACAAAGTAGTCCTTTGGAACGACAAAAGAAGTTGCGCTAGTGGAAGCATATCACGCATTTTTGTTTGTTGTCAATAAATACAAGGATTCTAAGACCAATTGCCGTTAAAACTGATCTCCGGCATTAGGAGATGCAGTTTCGCAGAGCACAGCCGGCCGGAACATCAAACGAATTAATAACAAGCTACTAACGTTATTCCAGTAGCTGAAAGAGTGAATTAATTTTAGTGCTGGCTGTTGGACGTGGCTTGCTACCCCCACACCAGCGTTTGACGAAGTAAGCAATCGCAACTACATGATGTCATTTGTTTGATACAAAATGTCCTAAGGTGGCGGTTACCAAATATTGAATCTTCTGTTGACGTAATTTTAGTGCTGGCTGTTGGACGTGGCTCGCTACCCCCAGTGTTTCACGAAGTAAGTAATCGCAACTAACATGATGAGAATTCGTTTGTTCGATACAAAAAGTCCTAAGGTGGCGGTGACCAAATATTGAATCTTCTGTTGACATTGTAGAGATATGGACATCCGCCCCACATCCGCACCCACGTTCCAATTCACGTTGTTCATTGAGCACGTTCCGTCTGAAATTGTTTCTTGGCAATATGTCTACTGATGGAGAAGTGTACAGTGTTGCTGGAGACTCTGGTGGTGTATTAAGGTGGCTTGGCAAACTGGGACTCAGTGTTATGTGTACAAACCATGGTATCATTTGGTTACAACACTCTGTTTTTGCTCTGGTCGGCGTATCACGCACTAGAGAATGCGTTCCATCTTGTCACATTTTTTCGACGAAAGATCACAGAAAGTATGTTCATGGCGAATTACGGCGAAACAAAGATATCTCCATGGTAATCATCGACCGAGAGAGTACTTAATGCGTATCACCGTATTTGCTAAGTTCTGCCTTGTAAACTATAGCCCTCAAATTATTGATATATATGTATAAATATACTTTTTTAACACAGCCCTAGAGAAGTTGTCGGTAGCACTATTCAACTCTGAGAATGTCCTTGGAGATCCGATAATTGGTTGATCATAAGCGCATAAATGCAATTTTTTTACATGGGCATCCGCGTCTGACAGTTGAAGATTCACGCACGATAAACGTGTACGTCTATTCTTTTGCACTAAGAACAGCGTTGTATCTCCTTACTTTTTGGTTTTCACGTGTTGGACCAAATTGAATTTAATACAAACAAGGGATTCTCTAATTCGATGTATCCGTCTAAACAAACCGCTGTCAACAAGATACCACCGAGGTACGCAGTTAGAGTACAGTTAACACTGGAGAATATGTTGACGTACACCATAGTTTCAGGAAAATTTTTTCGATGTTTCCTTAGTGATTGGCAGTCGATCACACTTCTGTATGACTCAATCGATTCTCACCTACTGTGGTTACGTTAGGGTGTAGACTGTATTCACTAACAACCCATTTTTTGACAGTTCAGTTGTAGGGATCAGCTTACACGAATCAGATATTCAAGTGAACTGCATTTACCATCAGGCTGTGAGTATTTCTGGTTATGTTTTATACTTTGTGTAATGTATTACAAACTCAGGTTGAATGAAGCATTTTGACACGCCAAGCTTGCAGCTCGAAAACGGTGAACTCAGGAATTTTCTTAACGGACTGAAGCTCATCTGGGAATCGATTGAGATAAGAAATCCCACGAAATACGGTAAATTTCTGCTTCGCACCTCACTGATAAACAGTCTCCTAAGAATAACTGACGACTGGAAGATGTCGGGGTATTGCACCATTGTCTACTGATAAGCCACCAAACGCAAATACAACAAACTGGTTACTTGTAGCTCTCTATCGTAGTGAATTGGACTCCAAAGGATAGGTTGTTACACCTGTCACGTGAGCTGTACCGTCTCAGGCAATACGATACAACGAGAACATTCCATGATAGTTTTGAATGTACGGGAGCCCCACATGCTTCGAGGAGGGTTGGACCATGGTGTGAATGAAAACTGATGTTGTTGTAGCAGCATGCACCTCCCAAGGGAAGATTCCACTGCATCCTAATTGCGCATCAAAGTCGCTTGTCGTCTTGGTCGCCGACGAAATTATACTCCACAACATTGTGGCCCCTTGTAGTCGTGTCTGCCACTTCAGAATAGGTCGTAGACGTTTGCAGTCTCAGGTGAAGCTGACCTTGCCTTAGAAGACGGGATCAAACTCAGTCGTGCTTACTGGGTCTTGGAAACCGAGAGGTTTCAAGGTATCACCACTGTCGCTAAAGCCAGCTACCTTTCGGGCAGCCTCTCCGGAGTATCCGAAAGCGATAGGAAATTCTTAGTGATCACCTGTCGTAGCTATATACTTGTAAGTAAAAATATCTGGGGCAACATAAGCAGACATTTGATGCTTTTTTCTAACGCCTACTAAACAGAATATTTGTGAAAAGGCATGTCCAACCATCTAACGTTGCGGAAGCTTCATAACAACTTCATAGCAAACCAGGAAGAAGAAAACTTGCCCAACAACTAGGCCTCCTGTTCCAGTGGAACACTAAGACCTTAAACCCAACCGTCACAAGTGGCAACAACCA